TGCTTCAAATAATTTAGGAATTGCAGAAAGCTTAGCTATTCCCCGGTAGTTCTCCACTGAAGATCAGCCACCGCTTTTATGTAACGGGGTTATGAACGATTCCTTCCATATAGTTGGAAAAACGCCCTCTTTAAGAGACAAATTAAATAACGCTGTTAACGGCTCATAGAGATAATCAGCACAATTTATAAGAACACAAGTAGGGATCTGGTGAGGACCATAACTGAAGGACTGCTTTAAGGATTTCAGATAAACTACTACATCATCGGGAGATATTACTGGGATATTTATTGAGTTCATTGGACAGTTTAAAAGGATAGTCAATGTTAGCATGTCAGTTAACGAAATAATTGGGTTAAAAAAACTGAGCGAACATGTTAGAAATTGTTTGATTGTCACTAGAGACGGTATTTTGATACTTCATGGCGGAAGAAAACCCACGTACATTTCACTTGGAGTTTACGAAGTCATAAAATGATTTGGGATTATATATTATACGCCGTTTGATTTTACACAAGTAAGCTTTATAACACTTTTTGTTTAATTCAGAAAACTTATGACGCAAAAGTGAGTATTTTACATAGTATGAGTGTAAACCGGTTTTTTTGTGTAATCTAAAATAACGCGACTTTCTGCTTTTAAAATTTCTCAGTTCTTTAGTGAACCATAACTGTGTTTGTTCTTCAGAAACATACATGCGTTTAGGCCCATGCTTTTCAAATAATTTATGTAAAGTAAAGTTAAAAAGTGCAACGCTTTGTTCAATATTTTCTTTATATGCAGGCCACGACAATTTAGACAGTTCTTTGTTAAGCGTATATTTGGTTCGTATGCTTGGGTACTGCAATTTTGACCATCACTTATAACTTCGTAAGATACCTCCATAGCAGGGTGGTAGACATCTTCGGGCAAAACTAGTGGATCACGCTTAGATACATCATCAACATAAACAAGATCTAATACTTTACCAAATTTATTCTGAAGTACATCAACCTGAGTTAGGCAGAGTTCAGCCATCTCCTCTAAAAATACGTTGTTGCACGCACTAGACGCGAAAGGTACGATATCATTGTCAATGATGTTCTATGATATGCTTGGTAAATTAAAATCACCCAACACAATCATTGAATTAGAGGGTTTAGTCAGTAAATTAACTGATTTCAGTAAAGAGATGAGTCGTGAGTACACCAATGTGTCAGATCGGGGAGGGATATAGCATAGAGCTAAGTAAATAGACCCTTTTCCAGCCTGTACACGAATGCATTTGAATTCTACTGAATCAATGTGTGGAAGACGAACTTCTTCAGATGGTATTGAAGAGTCTACAGCGAAGAGAACGCCACCGCCGATTCTCTACTCCTATCTTGTCTATAGATATGATAATTATTTGGAAGAATCTCTGAATTGAAAATGTGAGGTTTCAGCCAAGTCTCAGTAAAAGAAAGAATATTATAATTACATTCAAGGCCTTTAAAGTATAAGTTCGTTAATTTAGTATTTAAGCCTCTTACATTTNTTTCCTTTTTGGGCCTATATTCGAATTCACGAACGAAAGCTCCGGGGGGCCAAAAAGAACTACTAAGCAGCGCACTAAAATTATCTAAATTTACGTAAATTTTAAATGAAGCAATATTTCTTTCGTATTTAAAATTAAATTTTCTGATGCTTAAGTCGACAGTTGTAATTTAACTGGTTTATTCGGTGCTCTGACGAAATTTTCGAATTCAATCCCGATTTTGTGTGAGGCATTAATGGGCGCCCAGCCGAATAGTTCGTTAACCATATTGAAAGGTGAGCTGGTTGAACTGTGGGAAAAAACTAAAAAGGTATACGAAAAATATCTACAATCTTTGAAAGAAGATGTAGAGATAGAATAAGTTAGGTCCAAGTACGCTACAATATTTCGAGATTACCTTAGTTGTTTGTCCCGTATAAACGAAAATATGGAAAAATTTAACCCTAATAAAGAGGATACTTCTCGAACCATACTCAAGCAGCCATTTTTTTTAAGCTCACATTTACCGCCATCGATACCAACATTTTCGATGGTGATTGTGCCTCGTATCCATCGTTTCGGGATTTTTTTACCATGATATAAAAAACAACAGTCGTTTGAGCGGCGTACAGAAACTTTACCACTGGGTTCAGAAAATAAGCAGTGAAGCTCGGGAAATTGTTAGCCCAAACTAAAAATCAAGCATTCGAAACGGCTTGGTCTAT